AACTTCAGTCAGCGTCTACTTACGAGCGATAATGCTTTAATTCGTACTTGTGTCAACTCTGACAGTTTTTTCTTATCCAAATTTTGGACTAATCTTAGACGTTGTATTTATTAGTGTTCGTGTTTGTTATGTATTTAATATGGGACTTTTTTGGCCTGAAATAAAGGATTAATAATAATAATAATTACTAAATAATGATAAGTGAAACTTAGTGATACATAGAAATGAGCTGGGCAAAAAAATTGTCCACTCAGCAGTCAGTTTACACTGATAGTTCCTTGAGTAGAGTGCGTTCTATGCATTTTTATTTTTGTTTGTGTTTGAAGACGTTCTATTTCAAGCTAGTTGAAACCTGAAATTACGTGAGAAATTTTCAACTTCAAACAGAAGTTTTATTATCGTTATTTTGTGTTAGTTTTCTTCTAGATCTGCTCCAAAGATTGACTTATACATGACATTAATATTTCACTAACTAAATAATATTTTACTAAAATATGTGATTAGAAAGTAACTTAAGTTGTAAAAAGAAGCATCAAGTTCTGTGTATAAACACTAGTGTAAAAAGGCGGTAGAATGCTATTTTAGTCAAAATCGGCTAGTAAGACGCCATATGACCCAGGTCTGCGCTTCCTCTGACAACAGAACACAAACTACAACTCACTAAGCACAGTGGAGGAAAGAAACAAAGTAGCAAAGTTGCCAGTCAGGGTATAAAGTATATTGTAGTGTGTAAGTAATGGGATTAATGTCAATTTATGATATGCTATACTAGCCATTGGTTGTGTGTTACGGTAGATGGCAAAATAATGTAGCATGAAATAAAAACTACCTTTATAAACTTTTATCGAAAAGTCATACCTATCTTTCAATATCTGTATAACATTGCAACATTTGTTGCTTGCTCTCAAGATTTTCTCCTAACTGTGTGAAAGTGAAGAGTAGTGACGATGGTTTATGGACCACAGAGGACTGTGCTGTTACAAATTCATTTTGTTGTGGAAAACCTGAAGGTCAGTGTATTTCTTTCACTTTCCCATGCAATGACGTACATGTATCATTACCTAGCTATTAAGTCATTGTTTGTCTTTTAACTGACTTGTAAATATATGACTTTAATATATGCAGTAAATTTTTAATTTGACTTTTCGGTTATTGTGAATCTCTAAGTTTATAGTCTCAACAAAGCGCTGGGAAATTATTTTGCCGCCACAACAGTCACTATTGGTAAATAGTGCAAGCTAAAATAAAGAAAGTGTCAGCCTCTTGCATTTTGCCGAGAATTGTTGTTATTCCCTCTACTTCTTTGGCAGGAATGAATTTGTATTTTTAGTAATGAAGTGACGAAAATAACAATAATTCTCTGAAGTGTGAGATGCTTTCTCTCTCTACTTCTACACTTTTTACCAAATACAATCGTATACAACTGCCGCTATTTCAGTTTACTCATTTGTTTGTCCGAATTAAGCATCTTAAGGGGTTAGCATACGTTTAATGTGTTTTTTTTCAATATTTCAATAACTTTTTTCAATAACTAATCACATGACATAATGCTAAGTGATTATTTGAAACAAACGCTATACAATACACATGCCTTATAATGTATGTTAATGACAGGGTCATGTGCACCGGGATGGAAGATATACAAAGGTCAATGTTATCAGTTCAATACGTACTTTCCTGCCACATGGACGGATGGAAAACACACGTGTGAGGTGCAGGCAGCACATCTCGTTACTGTCAACAAGTAAGTATTAAACAATCAGTCATGGGAATTATTTGTGAAGTTTAACATATTAAAGCGTGGGGCTTGTCATTGTTTACAAACAAGCGACTACCTGAGCCTTTGCATTTTTAGCTTGTGTTATCCCCGCATGAGACCTAATTCCTACATGTGTGCAGGTGATAACCCTCTCACTTTAATTTTATCATAAGTTAATATTTTTGGTGTCAGTGCCTAGAATGGCTATCTTTTCCTGATTTGCTGGTCTAGCCAGCTACATGTCTTTTTCCACACTGTGTAAAAGAACATAATTACTCAATGAAGTTATGCTCATACTTTTATCATAAATTCACCATATTCATACACATGTATGTACTTTCATGGATTTGTTAAAATGTTGTCAATGCCAGGTATATAGAAGAGCCATGTGACATGTTTTCACTCTGAAATAGAGTTTCGTTCTCTTTGGTTGTTTACATTCAATGTTCCATTGATCAATGTAACCATGGTAATTGTAGTAGGAAATGCAATGATACATGGAAATGAAACATTATTTTAGGTTCAAAAACAATTAAATCACATGGTCTTCACTCTTTCAAGACCTCAGCACCATTTGCATATTTTTAATATATGTCTAGCCAGCCTAATCTCTGATCTGCGAGTAGAAGTACTTTTTTTGACTGGCAAAATAGGCTATTATGTGGGCAGTCTTTTTTTAAAAAGTAGTTCAATCTATCCTTCAAACTACTTTAGAAATTGCATAATGTATGTATAAATACATACCCGGTAAATGTAAATATAAATTCTGTTATGAAAGTTTTCTATTTAGGTTCCTACTAAAACTTTTGAAGAAATCTTAGACTAGTTCTAAATTAAAAACTTTTGAAGCTTTGAAGTTTCTAAATATGGAGTTAAGACTTTTAAGGAAATGAAACATAAAGAATGACCATTCTTTATTTAAAAATGAACTAAATATGGATAGCATCTTGCATATCTCGAAACATATCTTCATACATTCTTGTGTTTTTAATTCAGTCAAGGTGAGAATGACTTCTTGGTCCATGAGTTTGGTTTATTAAATGAAGTAGGAATAAACAATGTATGGATTGGAATATCAGGTGAGTGGTCTCTGTTGTCATGGTAATTACCACCAAATAGTAATCCTGCTTCTCATTTATCTATATACCCCATATATTTTGCTGTAATCCCATGAATTAATGAGAACACTGTTTGGTCTTATTATCACTCTGAAGATATAGACATGATTGGTGATCCGCGCATCAGAAATTTATATACAGATGGACAACATCTGTGTGTTTTTTTCTTGTGAAAATGCATCTATTCACCATTTGAAATTGTGTTCTTAATTGGGCATAATGGTTAAATGTGTGTTTGTTGTTTATTGATTATTCTTGTTCTAATTTGGAACAAACGCAACACACAATGCTTTGCCAAAATGTTATGTACATTTGTCAGAAAAACACTTCGCTCTGACCTGAAACATATATTCATGGATGTCATTTTGAAGTAATATGTCATGTTTATTTCATGTCAGTTTCACAAATTCAGTTCTCAGATTGACTAACCTGACTAACTT